CTGGGGGCCCTAGTGGGTTTGAGGGGGTTGGTGGGCGCGGCCCCGCGGGTACCCTGCAACTTTGAGTGTGGGGGGCCTGGGGGCCCTGGGGGGCACTGGGGGCCCTAGTGGGTTTGAGGGGGTTGCTGGGCGCGGCCCCGCGGGTACCCTGCAACTTCGAGTGTGGGGGCCCTGGGGGGCACTGGGGGCCCTGGTGGGTTTGAGGGGGTTGGTGGGCGCGGCCCCGCAGGTAGCCTGCACGCATAGGGCCTCGCAAATGAGGTAAATCATGTTGCCCCCCGCCCCAACAGTGGTAGTCAGAGATGGGATGGGGCCGCCGGTTTGAGGCCGGCTAACACAAAGACCATGCATTTTGCCAGTAGCTGCGCGGCCTGCGCCTCCCTTTCTCAACGTCCCCCACCCGGGCCACCCCTCATCGAGTAGCAGCAAAAGCTATGGGCCTATGGCCAACACTCTCCCACAGGAGTAGGTAGTGAAAGGCAAAAACAATTTTAGAGAAGAACATAGCGTAGTTAAAAAAAAAAATTAAAAAAAAAATCCTTATTCTGTGTTATGAACTTGGTTGTCTGCCGATTTTTACCGCCACTCACACACAGACCGTTTCATACACGCCCATACATGCATGAGAGAAGGGGAAGAGGAGACAGAGTCCAAATTGCACACAGATCAGAGTAGACAGCGAAATTCAACCATGCACAGATGGGGAGAAGAGCTCAAAAGACACGCAGTGTTTCTCACTCTCTGACAAACTCCCAACAACCAATCACAAGAAGAACCTGCGAGGATGGCAATTGAAATCACACAGATGATGAGCCACTCAACTAAAATATCGTCACAGAGTTTGTTCCAGTATCTCGCCACTCCCAGAACTCACCCCACTCTCTATCTTACACCCTGTTAGTAGCGCCACATCAAAACAGCTTCCCTGAGGCTAACGCCAACCACTGTGATGAAGAACAGATCCCGTGATGAAGTCTTCAAAGCCGATGGACAACTCAGACGAAGTATCAGGCAGCTATGGCTGCCACCACCCACGAACACACAGTGTAGAGCCTCGATATAGCCCGACCATACGCAGATACCGAAGGGCCTAACCTATTAATAGACTGCAGTCTACAGTCACTATAGGCTACAGCTACTCTAGCCTACACGTGGACCGGACTCACTGACCGACCGATACCGTTTCTGTTTCGGCCTCCCGGCCTCTACCGGACCCGGCTATAGGCTATAGGACCGTCTATCAACATAGGCCCATAGTGCCTGTCTGTCCTAGGGGTAGCTCGGGCCTGCTATTCGCAGTTAGGGTAGTAATAGGAAATCCAGTTAGTGTTATGACTCTATTTTTCCAAATTTACAGATATGTCCCTCACGAATTTCCTTATAGGTAGGTCTCTCGGTTTAGCCCTCAGCCAAACAAAATCACAAATCTAACCTACCGGGTCGATGTACAACCTCGCAAGCAGTCTTGACAGTCAAAATCAGCAAGTCATTGCACTAGTCTCAGAGAGGGAGCGCCTCACACCTCCTCCGTCCCACACAGTGAGAGTCGCAAAAAAAAAAAGCACAGGACCCCTGGTAAAACCCAACGCCACCTAAATACTAAGCCCGTGTCGCCACCTGCACCCCGTTGCGAAGGCCTGTATGCAAAATTCACAGACTGAGCTTGCGCCTGTCGATCAATAGGCGGTCATAGACCTGCATCCTGCTACGAAGACTCAGACCGGTAATGATACAGTTTGGCTATCACAGACTGAGCCTGCGCCTGTCGATTATAGGCGGTATAGGGTCCGATGGCGTCCCCTGCCCGTGAAGGCCGAGTCCTGTCCTCTGCCTGACCCGTCAACCTCCACCATCATCTCCATCCGCCACCGGGCGCCGGGGCACGTAATCGGAGTGACCTGGATCGTTGGCGCCTGTGGTCTCGCCAGCCTCCGCGGCTGTGGAGTTGTCATCATGGTAGATCACCACATTGCCTCGTCTCTTCTCGACTCGCCCTGAACGGCATTGGGCTGTCCCCCCGTCCGCCACTGCCCCGCCAGTCGCCGGAATTTGTGTGGTCGGAGCTCTGGCGCGAAAAGTCGGTGGTGGACGGTGACGGTGATATGGGATCGATGTACCTGTCCTCTTCTTCCTCGCCCGGGATAACCTCGCGGTCGCCGTCCTCGTGTCGTGGACAATTGTTGTCTTGGACCGCAAAGGCTTCCCATGTCGCTCCTCGTATGCTCTCATGGAGTCGTGAGAAGTACCATCGACGCGGCCTATGGATCGCATCCCCGCACGCACATTTGTCAGTCCGCATGCTGATGCATGTCCCTCATAGCCCGCCCTCCAGTCCCTGGTCACGCCGTCGTAGAACGACACCGTCGGTAATGCGGTGCTCGCCGCCACACCGTGGACGACAGAGTCTGCGCCATGGGTGTGCGGAGGCGCGTGACCCCTATGCTCGCCTTCGACACCACGTGCGATGGCCCCCTCAGCGACACGATGTGCGGCCGATGACCCTCTATGCTCGTAGTGCGACCCAGTGCTGCGAGCAGGCACGCTACCATCTGTGATCAATGTCCGTGCCAGACTGCATTGCGCTGCGACGCACATGGTACCATCCCTGCGCATTTCCTTGTCCACGTCCGCGGCGACAACGTCGGGAGCCGTCTCCTGCACCGAACGTGGCGCGCCTGGGTGCGGGTCTTCCTAAGAGACTGTCGGGAATGATGACCCATCGCGTGCGGAATCCTGTGCACAATGGCCCTCCTGCGCCGCATACTCTGCATCGAAATGAATCTCCTAAACTGCATTGCGCCGCGACGCGAGGGCCGCCACGGCGGTTCCATGCCACCTGCTGCGCCAAACCCTGGTCCACCGCGTGCGGTGCCCCAACATGAATTTGTATGCTGCCTTAAGTACCTCCTCGTGCTGCACCGATCCCTCTGCATAGCCGAACTGGACCAAAGTTTCGATCAATCCCTGCTGCACCTCCTGGTCGTCGTTCAGCGTCGGGTCTCGGAACTCGAGATCCAGCAACATGGCCGCTGTGTGGGCGGGTGTCCGGAACATGGTGCGCCGCTTGTCGAACACCTCCAAAATAGCGTCCTGTTGCTCCCGATCGAGGTCGCGGCACGCAGACAAGCAAGATGCGATCATAACCTCGTAACGACGCAAAATCTTGCTTATTAGGCGTGTGTCGCTATCGACTAGCTTCAACATATCCATGATAGGCTCCAACATCTTGCACAAAGCTCTCAAATCCTCCCACCATGGAGGAGACCCGATACACGCAGTGACCTCTGTGGCGTCCTTGCGGATCGTGCTTGTAGACCAGACAGTCTCACGCCACCGGTCGTTGCCGACAAGCTGCATGAGCTTTCCCCGCAAGTCCACAAGCCTCGTCGTCATGATGACGTTAGTGCCGAATCGAGTCTCCACCGGCAGTAGTAGGGTCTTCGTCGAGAAGAACTCCAAAACCTCCCGTGCGTGGCCATGGCGCTTGAAGAACCTCGTCTCCAACCTCGCCTGCGCGATGCGGGTGGCCACCCAATCAATCCCGCCAATGTCCTCGAGAATGAGGTCCATCATATGAGCGACGCATGGAATCCAGAAGATGTGTTTGACGCTCTCGTCCTTCTAGAAAACCTCCATCGCTGTGACGTTCACCCCGGCGGAGTCCATCACGAACGTTGTGATGTCGCTCAAGTCCACGTCCATGGACTTCACCCTCTTCAGCCACGCTGTCGCAAGGGCAGTGGCGTCCTTCTTCCCGTGCATGACGTCGGTAACCACATAAGATGCCCCCAAATTTGTCCCGACAAGATAGTTGCACAATGTCTAACCCCTAATGTTGGTCCAACCGTCGGTCATGATTGTGCAACCAAACTCTCTCGCCGTGTCAAGAAGTGGCCGAACACACTTTTGGACCTCTGCATCCAGCTCATCCAAAAGGGATGTGCGCACCATGTGGTACGTGGGTACTTTGGGCGTGGGCGCCCCTGGAACACCCAGCGGGATGATCATCGCGAACATGCGTTTGAAGCTTTCAAGCTTAACGCAGTTGAACGCCATCCCACTCTCAACGATGAAGCGCATGATCTGCAAATGCCATGCGTGCTCCAAAGGGTCTGAATAATACGACGTGACGGCCTGTTGGCAAAAGGTGCCCCGACCACGTCCTATCGTGGCTCGCCCGCCAAGGCTCCCGACATCCAACAACCCACCAGGACTCTCAAGTGCCGCGCTCTGGGCCGCTGCAATGTCGTGCATGCAGGACAAAGGATCCAATGAACCGGTAAGTACGGGTGGAACATCTGCAGCAGCACCTGTCGTCAGTGGAAGCGGGGTTGGCGACGAATCAGACACCAGAATGGGGAGCTCAAAAGCACCCAGCCTGGGCATTGCCTGTTCCCCAACTCGAGGAAGGGAACATAGGGAAGCAGGCTGTCGAGCATCTGCACCTACGCGCGAAGGCTCCGGTCTCCCCGTCGTAGCAATGTGGTCGGCAGCCACACCCTGTGCCACTCCTGATGGTGTAGGCGGCAACGAAGGGTGGTCCGATGGACCGTGATCAGCTGTGGCCGGGGCCGCACTTCTGGTAGCCTGTGCAGCATGTGGTTGTCTGCCACTGTTAAAAACAGGGGCAAGTGTGCACGGGGCCGCAATAGTGGTAGCCCGTCCACCCGAAGTTCCAACACCCCCGCCCCACGTGCGGCTCTCAACAAAAGCACGTGTGCCGTGTTCGCCGAACGCCGCACAACCCCCACCCCCTCGAACAGGAGGGGCCTCATTGGCCGGCACGGACCGACCGACGTGTAAACCACCTGCACCCTGTGTCCCTGTCAGCGGTGCAGACGCTGGAGCTGGTGGACGTGGTGGCGTTCGACGTGGCACTGTAACTCGAACGGCTGGACTGGAAGAAGGCACCGTCTCCGAGGGAGCGGTGGCGGAATCGAGGGGCGACACTGAGTCCTCGGGGTATCATAGGGGTGGCCACTGGAAGTTCGGATGACCGTGAGATAAGCTCTGCAATGCCTCGATAGCCGATACTAACTCCTTCAGACATTTTGTCATGTCCTTTGCCCAGATGGCATACCACACTGCAGGAGTGGCCACCACACATCGGAACTTCTCGCTCTTTGAGAAGTGTTCCTTGGCGGCCTTAGCGCCCTCGCACATCGAACGGCCGCACAACCTGCACATGCAGCGACGACCACTCTTTCTACCTGCCGCAGTGGACCCATCCAAATAACGACCTCGTGCGATGCAATGCCAGACGGGGTCGTCTCTCTTGCCGTCGGTTGTCGGATCAACCTTGAACGGCGAGTCGAAACTCTTCGTGTTGTGACCTTGTCTGGCGGTATTGGACGAGTCCGCCGGATCCTTACCATTCTGGCGTGGCATGCTGAAACGTCAGCACTACAAAAAGACCGCGTCGTAAACCAGAGAGGAAACAGGTGCAGGAAACAGAATCGGAGAGAGAGAGCGACAGTAGAATGCAAAGGAACTGCTGAAAATGTAGAACCAGAAACTGCAGATAGAACTTGGACACCAAAGCAAAAACAAAAATTGATATATAACGCAGAAATACACAACAGAACAACAAGAAAAAGACATCAACAACCTTCAACAAGTAAAACAAACAAGCTGAATCCAAATGTCTGCACCATCGACTACAAAAAAAAACAAGAACCTTGAAAAAAAAAACAACAAACACACACACACACACACACACACACACACACACACACA